TTCTGGCTGCTAACTTGTCTTTTAAGTAACTAATTTTGAGCGGGTAAGAAAGCACAAGGTTGAGATGAGATACAAAATAAAGCAAGGGCTCTTAGCTCCCCAGCTCCCCGCCGGAGAGTGGCTGCTGCTGTGGTCTTTCCTACATTGTGCTCATATCCAGCCTCTCTCAGGTCGCCTCCTTCCTTCTCAGAGGGGGCGGTGGGCAGAGGGGAGTGAGTGAGTGGTAGTTCCAGGAAGAGGGGGGTGAGGAATCGGGGAGTCGTGCATGCAGACGAGGAGGCTGGGACAACTGGCCCCCGATGGCCTCGTGAACGGAGGTGGAGAGGCACTGCCACGCGCGTTGTCCGTTCTCCTGCTGCCCGATCCCAGGGTGGATGGTTACACTGTTTCCTGCTAGAGGACCAGAGACCCTGCCCAGAGCAAACCAGCTGTAGGCGTGGACCCTAAATGCAGGCTCTCCCTCCCAACACACACACCCACAGTTCACACACACACCCTACAGTTCACACCCCCCCCACAGTTCACACACACCCCACAGTTCACACACACACCCCATAGTTCACACACACACACACACCACAGTTCACACCCCCCACAGTTCACACACACAACCCCCCAGTTCACACACACACCCCATAGTTCACACACACACCACAGTTCACACACACCCCACAGTTCACACACACCCCAAAGTTCACACACACACCCCATAGTTCACACACACACACACACCACAGTTCACACCCCCCACAGTTCACACACACAACCCCCCAGTTCACACACACACCCCATAGTTCACACACACACACACACCACAGTTCACACCCCCCACAGTTCACACACACAACCCCCCAGTTCACACACACACCCCATAGTTCACACACACACACACACCACAGTTCACACCCCCCACAGTTCACACACACAACCCCCCAGTTCACACACACACCCCATAGTTCACACACACACACACACCACAGTTCACACCCCCCACAGTTCACACACACAACCCCCCAGTTCACACACACACCCCATAGTTCACACACACACACACACCACAGTTCACACCCCCCACAGTTCACACACACAACCCCCCAGTTCACACACACACCCCATAGTTCACACACACACCACAGTTCACACACACCCCACAGTTCACACACACCCCAAAGTTCACACACACACCCCATAGTTCACACACACACACACACACACACACACACCACAGTTCATACACACACACACACACACCCCACAGTTCATACACACACACACACACACACACACACCTCCTGACACTTACACATCCCCCTGTCCCCTTAGATACGCACACACATCCCACACACACATTTACTGCCCAGAAGGAAGCAAAGCTGAAGGGTGTAGAAGAGCGCGCAGAACCTGCACCCGGGGCCCTGCCCCGCGGCCTGGCAGGGACTTTGAGCAGGTCCCTCACTTGTCTAGGCCCTCAGTTCCATGATGTGAATGGAAGCTGCCTTCCCTCTCCAGGAGAAATGGTGAGGAGAAGACAAGCTGTGGGGAGATGACCGATGGGTGGCACCCGCATGGGCTGGGCACCACTCGAGTCTCCTCCCTGCCCTCAGCAAAGGAGGCAGGGCCACCACCGTTGCTGGAATGCTCATTACCAGCATCCGGTGCCTCCTGACCTGTAGGATGTGGAGCCCAGGGGCAGAGTGGGGACAGGGCTGGGCAGAGAACTGTCTCCATGGAGGCCCAGAGCAGCCCTGGGCAGGGGGTGTCACTGTCGCCGTAGCTCTGGGTTGTCACGGGGCCAGAGTGGGGCGGCTGTCGTCTCTTAGCCGGAGAGCTGGGCAGTCAGGAATTCTCATGATCCCGAGCCCCTCGTTCACCCTGCCCAGGCGCACTGGGCTTCTCTGCTCCCTCTGCGCCTGGCCAGCCCCGCGCCCCTCACCCTGTCTTTACCTGGCCGACTCCTTCAGGTCTTGGTGTCTGTGAGTCCCCCTGGGCACCTCCCTGACCCCCCAGCTTAGCCAGGCACCCCTGTTATGGGCTTGGGAGGCAATAGTACTGCCCCTTTGTGGTATTTGCACACCTGGACTTACTATTTTTTTATGGAGGTTAAATTCACATAACATAAAACTAGCCCTTTAAAGTACACAATTCAGTGGCAGTTAGGACATTCACAATGTGTGCAACTACCACCTCTATCTAGTTCCAGAAGATTTTGTCATCCCCAAAAGGAGACCCTGTACCCGTTTGCTCCCCACACCCTGCCCCAGCCCACACACACATGGACTTTTGAGGTTAATTACACACAGACTGTATGGTCTGCCGCTCCCCCCCTCCCCCCCAGGTGTGCTCTGCAGTGGGGACCAGAGTGGCCGGCTCACCTGCAGCCACGAACAGGATGCCAGCGCTGAGGACGATGTTGTTCTTGCGGCTGTAGAACCTCCCGGCACCGATGCAGAGCCCGCCGAGCAGCAGCAGGATGGTGCTGAGGATGGGGAAGACACTGGAGGCACGCACAATGCCTGGCCGGGCAGGAGACAGAGCAGAGAGGGCGGTGAGATTGGCCACCTGTGCCTGGGCACAGCCACAATGCTGGCAAGGGGCCCTGAAGACCAGGGCCCAGCCCCCTGACTTGGAATAGTCCCTTCAGGCCCTGGGTACCGAGGTGCGTGGGGAGCTGGGGCAGGGTGGGGGCAGCTGGGCTCGATGTAAGTGATGGCCCTGCCTGGCTGGTTACACCAAGTGGGCCAAGGTCACATCCGCCCAGGTCTTGCTTAGGCTCCCCTGGGTGTGAGTCACACTTCTGCCACCAGAAGTGAGGAGAGCCCCTCAGTGGCACCAGGGGCCACCATGAGAGCCGTGGACACAGTCTCCTTGAGGCCTCTGGGAGGCAGGGAAGCGGTGTCGTCACGAGCAGCTCCGGTGGGTGGCTAAGGACACAGGCTTTGGCACTGGGTGGTCAGGGTGCAGCCTCTGCCCTGTGACATGCTGGCTGCTGGCTGTGTGGCCTTGGTCCAGTCACGTCATCTCTAGAAAACTGAGTTTCCTCATTTGTGAGATGCAGTTCATAATTAGTACCTACATTCTACGGTGGGTTTTGTACCAACAAGGAGCTTCGCCGAGGTCCTGGCCAGAGCACGAACTTCCCGAGTGACAGCCTTTATCTCTATTGTCGTAATCTCGTTGTTATCATCCCCAGTAACTGGTGAGGATGTGGAAGTGCAGGACCTCCTGAGGTCACAGAGAAGAAGGCGGCTGGACAGAGGGACACACGTGGACCGTGGTGTCCAATAGCGATAGGTTTGCACCCTTGCTCTGCCACTGTCCCCTCTTTATCACCTGGGAGACGAGTAATACCTACTGGTAAGGGGCTGAATCGTGGCAAAATCCCCACATGTCCAAGTCCTAACCAGGGTAGCTGTGACTGTGAGCCTATTTGGAAAAAAGGTCCTTGTAGGTGTGATTGCATGAAGGATCCTTCACACCCAGTTTGTGGTCATTTATTATGGAAGCTCTCGGAAAAGGATACACCCTGCCCCTGAGGGTTGTGAGAATTTGACGGAATAAGGGTCATAAAGCACTTAGTAGGGGCTGGGGATGTGGGTCCCCATGCTTAGCACCTGGCCGGAGAAGGAAGGGCAGGAGGGGAAGGAGGACATGAGGAGGAGCCGAGCTCGGCCTTGCCCCTGGGCCTGCATGTCTCCCAGCCCAGCAGAGACCTCGCCACGTGGGCCCTTGGTGGCCCTGGCAGGGACAGGGCGTCAGGGAGCGCTGGCAGGCACCGGCCTCCTCAGCCAGCTGAGCCAGTCTGCGGAGTTCCAGCCTCTGAAGACGGCGTTTGTCTCCTGCTCTGTGAGCACACCACTGTGTGCCCTGCTTCACAGACAGGGGTCTGTTCGGGGCATTAAATGAAGCTCTTCTCTCCGCCACCTCCTCTTCCTCCCTCTGCTTTCTTGCAGCCGCAGGCTCTGGGAGGAGGTTTCCTGTGGGTTTCTGAGACGTGCCTGTGAGCTGTGCCAGCCAGAGAAGCCAGGATTGGGGTTCCCTGGACGCCCTCATCCTGCAAAGGGCTCAGAGGGGTGGAGAGAAGGGAGCCCGGCGCCCCTCAGGTGGCTGAGGTCAGGCCTGGCTTACAGCCGTCCATCCGGCCCAGGTAAATGTGAGGAACTGTCCTTTGCCCCAAACCGGTCACCCCTTCTCTTCCTGGGGAGTCTCTGGGCTTGTTAATGACCCGGCTGGTGTCCTCATGAGCGTACACTTGAGGAGAACTCCTCCTTCCCAAAGAGCTTCCATTGCTGCTGTGCCATCACCATCCTTCTATTTGGGAAAATCCCTGCTGGGCCCTCCCAGCCCTGGGGCCCTACCCAGGGGCACCACTGAGGGGAGGGAGGGTCTGAGGGCAGCAGGAGCCCTAGGCTGGGTGGCGAGTCTGTGGCCCACTCCTGGTCTGCCCCTTGGATGCCCATTTCATGTCTCCATCCTGTTCTGGACTCTGTTTGGGAGGAAAGTGCAGGCGAGAGCCCTTTCCTGGTTCCTCCTGAGGCTGCAAAGGAGGTGGCTGCATGCACAGTTCCTGCCCTGTCCTCACGGCTCCCTCCTCCAGGTCCCCGCCTGCCTCCACCAGTCCAGCCCCGGAGTGTACAGGCTCCTTCTGCAGCTCGCCCTAGTGGGCTCACTATCCCTTAACCGTGCCCACACCTCTGTCAACAGCCCTGCACTAATGCCCTTCATTCCCTCTGTGCTGGGCCCTCAGGAAGCCACGTGATCTGCCCTCAGCTGAGGTGTCAGGAGGCCAGTCTAGGAAGAGGTCCCAGAGCCCTGGGGACCATGAGGGGACAGGCGCAGGGGGGTGAAGAGGGAGAACCAGCACCAGTGCCCACAACCTTAGTGTGCCAGGCACGTCCAAGAGGGACGTGGAGAGGGTGTGGTTTGTTTCTCCAGGGCCTCCTTCCTGCAGTCCCGGGGTGGGTCCAAGGGGGCAGACCCACTCTCACAGCTTCAGGAACCACCTGTTGGCCCTGCGTTGGGCAGCCAAGGGCAAGTTCTGAGTCAGGGTGGATTTTGAGCTGAGCCATCTCAGCCGGCTAAGCACCAGGGGCCGCCCCGGATGGCTGTGCAGGCCACGCATGGTGCACCTCGAAGGTGACATTGATACCATAGTCTAAGCGAGTGTTGGGCAATCTGCACAACCATTTGTAGCCGCGCCATGGGATATCATCCGCTTGGTTCAGTGTTGGCCCCCAGAAAGCAGAAAGAGGGGACAGGAGAGGAAGAGGACAAGGTGAGGGAGGATGGCTGGGAGGGAGATCTGGCCGAATTATTCCAGGTTCTGGGCCTGGCCAGCACAGCCCGACACGGCCCCAGGCTCCACGGGATAGAACAGCACGCTGTTCTATTTCACCAGATGACTCAGAACTCAAATCCTTCCTCTTAGAAAATAACACACAGAAAGATCCACAAGCAGGTGCTGAGTGATTGGTGCCTCCTCCGAGGACACTGGTATCGATTCTCCATAAAGGAAGCTGGGCCCGAGGCCCTGGGGGTGCCGCTGGGAGCAGCTCCACGTGTGTCTGGGCTGATGTGAAAGGGAAAATGACTTCAAAGCGGTGCTGCTTTTCCCATTCCAGGCTCCTTCCCTGGCTGCGGCCCCTGCTGCCTCCCAGGGAGGCCGAGGGATGAGATGTGGAGCTGGGCTGGTCCTTCAGGTTCAGTATGTGCTGTGACTTGCTCCATTCTGGGGCCAGCCTAGCCACAGGACACGGGAGGGCAGGGGTTCAAGGGGCAGCTCATGGGGCTCCACCGTCTGTGCTGAAGACACCTAAGGCCCAGGTATCAGAGGCTGCTCTTGCCACCTTCCTCGCCTTCGCCTACAGGCTGTCTGGCACTCAGCAGGCTGTCTTAGTGTGCCACCTACTCTGACTTTCGGAGAGTAGAATGCTGGTGTGTGGGGAGGGGTGGGCGGGTTCAGTGCTGGCAGGGGAATGTGCTCGGGTGTCACAGTCCCCAGGGACGCTCGGCCTGGGCAAGCCTGCATCTCTAGCCTCATGGCCCCAGCCAGGCCCAGCGGCAGCAGCCAGCTCCTCTGAGCTAGCCACACCCAGCAGCCCCCCGCCCCCCATCTGCTCTCCCCAGGCCTCAGCCAAGTAACTCCATGGGATCCCCAGCGCGTCATGGCAACGCAGGACAAAACTCCATCCTCTGACTCAGAAAGGGAGTGCAAGCGCATCCAGAGAACGGCACCCTCTCCACCCCCATGGACCCCGTCTTTCCTGCAGCCGCCCACCTGCCACCAGGCTTCCCCCCACACACAGGAAGCAAGGAGTGTGGACACTCACGGAGGAGGTACTCCGAGCTGTCGTGGTCATAGTCATTGTCCTCTGGGAAGTGATTGATCCGGAAGCAGTGCCCTTTGTAGATCCCTGGAGGGAACAAGAGGGAAAGGACGTGGTAGGTGTGCCAGGGGGTCATTCATTCGCCCACTCACCCCGGACCTGGTCACTGCACGTGTGCCGGGCCCTGGGCACGGAGAGAGAGGAAAGGCTCAGGCGTCGCAGTGGGAAGGTGCCCCAAAGGTGACCGTGTCATTTACGGTGAAAGGACACATCATCAATAACTATTCAGGGACAAGAGACCTCCAGCGGAACCGACCTGGGCAAGCAGGACCTGCGGTCCCCGACCCAAGGGGACAGCAGAGCCACGTCTGAAAAAATGGCCAAGAATCTGCCACCGGGGACTGGGTGGAGGCGGCCTTCTGGGCAGAGAAGGAGGTGGTGAGGAGACAGGGTGCGGGTGGGGCTGGTGAGTTTGGGGAGCGGAGGGGAGGTCGGTAGG